TGCGATGAAATGGCATGGAAACATGATATGGGCTTATACCAACATGAGTGAACCTCAGCCACACTCATAGGATGTCGGCGGATGAAAATGAGGTGCCTCGAAATGCGTGCACACGGGCACGCAAACCGAGGCGATGCAAAAATATGAAGAAATGACATGGAAATGACAAATGGGCTTATACCAACATGAGTTAGCCTCAGCCACACTCACATCGGATGCCGGCGGATGAAAATGAGGTGTCTCGAAATGCGTGCACACGGGCACGCAAACCGAGGCGATGGCAAAATGCGATATAATGACATGGAAATGACAAATGGGCTTATACCAACATGAGTGAGCCTTAGCCACACTCACATCGGATGCCGGCGGATGAAAATGAGGTGCCTCGAAATGCGTGCACACGGGCACGCAAACCGAGGCGATGGCAAAATGCGATGTAATGACATGGAAATGACAAATGGGCTTATACCAACATGAGTGAGCCTCAGCCACACTCACATCGGATGCCGGCGGATGAAAATGAGGTGCCTCGAAATGCATGCACACGGGCACGCAAACAGAGGCGATGGCAAAATGCGAACTATAGCATGGGAAATGATATGCAAACATGGTAATGGATTTTCAGCAATGAAATATGGGGTAAAACAGTCCCGAAATGAGGCGATATGACACCAAATGCATGGAATAGTCCCGAAATACGAATTTAGGCACCCGAAATGGCCTATAGCTATGCAATGCGTGCACAATATGGACATGGAATATAAAGACAGAAGCAAGGAAGCCCCAAAATTAGTGTTTTAGTAGTTTATAGCATGGCCAAACAGTGGACAAAAACAGAGCAAAACAAGCATGCAAAAATGGGGAATAAACATGAGATTAAGAAGCAACTCATAGCTACTGTCCTCGAACAGGTTCGGGCCCTTCAACAACATTGAAGAGGGGCCAAAAATAAGCACATTTACAGAACTGTAAAATCCTCAAAAACAAAAGCATGGTAGGCTAACAAAACATGCAAGAAAACGGACCAAAAGGTGGCCAAAGAGGTAAGTGGCATATGCAATGCCCAAACTGAAAAAATTCCTTCTACAACATTGAAGAGGGACCAAAAATAAGCATATTTTCAGAACTGTAAAATGGCCAAAACAGTATAAAAACATGCTAGAAATGCAACGCAAAATGAGGCTCAAAAGAGGCTATAACATGAGGTATGCAAAATAATCCACAAACGGCCAAAGACCCTTAATAAGACATGTAGAATGGGACAAAATAAGACCTTTTCTAGAACTGTAAAATGGCCAAAAATGGAAGCTTAATGGGCTGCTATAGCATGCAAGAAAACGGTATTTAAGGAGGATATTGAAGCAAGTGGCATATGGAAGGCTCAAACAGGGTTGAGCCCTTAATGAGACATGAAAATGAGCTCAAAAGAAGGCCACTCTCAGTTATGGCCGGAGCTCAAAGCAAAAAGAAAGGATGGCTTGCAAAAGATCCAAGAAAAGGGCCAAAAAGGGGAAATTGCAACTTACCTTTGAAGACCAATTCTTTTGTTGCTTCTTGGGCCAAATTTGTTGCCTCTTAGCTGCTGGAATTCCTCTCCTTGCTCTTGGAATGGAGTGGTGGTGGTAGAGCTTGGTGTTGTAGTGTAAATGGTGGTGTAGGACTTGAAGCTTTTTAGGAAAATGAGAGAGATGGAGGAGGATTTGTCTCTTGAGGCTTGAAGAACCAATTTTTCTAACCTCCTAAAGGGGAGGAGAGGTTCTCTTTATATAGAGAAACCAAAGAGGCAAAGCTTCTCTTGGAAGCTTTGACCAAAAGGGCCAAGCTTCTCTTAGAAGCTTGGAGCAAAAGGGCCAAGCTTCTTGGAGAAGCTAGGCAAAAAGGGTCAAGAGGTTCAAGCTTATTGGAGAAGCTAGCCAAAAGGGTCAAAAGGTTCAAGCTTCTTGGAGAAGCTAAACAAAAAGGTTCAAAAGGGTCAAGCTTCTTGGAGAAGTTTTAAAAAAAGGTCAAAAGGTTCAAGCTTCTTGGAGAAGCTAAACAAAAAGGTCAAGCTTCTTGGAGAAGCTAAAAAAAAGGTCCAAAAGGGTCAAGCTCCCTCAAGAAAAGGTCTCGGTTAGGAGAAGTGGCCGATTGATCAAAAATAGTGGCCGGCCATGAACTTTTAGGGTCCTCCCAAGTGTGTACATCACATATATGTGGTTCAGGTTCAAAGTTCAAGAAAATGGCCCCAAGGTATTCAACATTAGCCCGGAAGTGTGAAAAACGGGCGTCGGAGGGCGCCGGAGGGCGTATGACTTGGTTGCTGCAACAATTGCTGGCCTCTCACCCTTCTACGGCCTTCCTAGTGATGAAACAGAGGTACCTGCCAAAAATGAACAAAAATCGATGCAAAACGAATGTTCGGGGGCCAAAACGCGCAGTTCGGGGTCCCGAAAATGGGCTGTTAAGCACCGAAAGTGGCATTCGACCTCGAAGTGGGTTTCTCAGACCCCAGTGTCCCTCAAAAGGGAGTAAATAAGATGTATGCCAAAATTTAGAGCAAACGGAGATGGTTAGGCGATCCCGAACCGAGGCACACGGCCTGATGGTCCCGGAAAACCGAAAACCGGGCTCCGAAATGGGCAAAAAGGCCTACGGCCACAGAATGTAGCCCACGGCCACTGAGAGATGGTCTACAGGACCTCTCTCTCCCCTCAGGAAAAGAAACAGAGAAAACCGAGTCTGGTTCGCAAACCGAGGCAAGGCACAGAAGAGGGTTCGGAAGTCCGGAGGCAGGGCGCACGGCCGTGACTCTGAAACTTCTGAACGAGCACATTATGCAACGTCACCGAGCGCTCAATCGGTGATGTCTGAGTCTTAAGGTCGGTTAAAAATGGGGTGTCTACATGTACTTTTTGACTTTTTATGAAATATGGATTGGGTTTGAAGTGATGTGTTAGAGAGGTGATGTGACTTAAATAGGATGATGCGACTTAAATAGGATAGTAACTTTTTGACTTTTTATCTTTTTCAAGACATGCCAAACTTGACCTTAATAAATTTATTCAGAATCACAATTTTATTCAATAACAAAATTATTATATCACCCACCACCATCTCACCTACACATCTCACAATTTCATCCACCACCATCTCATCATCATAGAACATTCCATCCGGAGAACCTTGACCACGGCAAAGACTCACCATTGCCGGAGAAACTCACGAATAGGACGCAGCTGGTAAAC